GACCATTAACTATAAGTCGAGAATTACTCAGAATATATAATAATCTTAAATCTTTTGGCTGACGTATCTATAATTCAATGAATGGAACATGAAAAATATGTAAAAGAGAATAAAATAAAACTAATAGGGTAACCCAAAAAAAAAAAAGAAATTAAAAAAAAACGAAACAAATGGTTTCCCTTTGAATTGCATGATCTGATTGGTATGCCAATGTACTAACTATTTTCTCTCGATCGATTTATGTGCGGGGTGTTCACTTATCAGTATCATATATATCATCATCATCATTTACTGCATACAGCCAATCGATTGGTATATTCTCAACTCCCTCAACACACAGAGATAAGCGTACCACGTAGATATAAAACAGAGATGATATCAACCTTTGAACAAAAAACTCTGTAGGTGTCATTCAATTCAAAGCTCAACTTGCACTAGGGCACAAATTGAATCATGCCCTACCTGTTAATTTTTTTTTTGGAACTTGTCTTCTTTTTCCCTTGTATGTTTCTTGTTTTTGGGTCTCTTTGAATAGGGATCATTTTCACTTCTTTTTTGGGGCATTCTAGAGTGCTTTATTTTGCTTGTATCTGCGCATTAGTATTTTCCTTCAGGATGTTCTGTCTGGAAACAGTGAACTTCCTATTTATATTATGTCTTACTCCTTCTGGTCCTTAATATAAGTTATTTTGATTTATCTTAGTTATAATTTAGTACGCATTTTCAATTGACAAAAAAATTTTAAAAATATATTTTCACATTCGTTGTATTCTCTTGATTATTATGAAATATTTTTAATTTTTTTTATCAATTAAAAATACGTATTAGGTGAAACATAGAAAAAGTCAAAATGCCTTATAATAAAGACCAAAGGGAGTATATCGTATTATGCCTTTTTGGAGATCACAGTTAATTGAATAAATTTTCGGGTAATATCTTCAACTTTTTTTTAATCAAACGTTGAAATTTAGTTTAATTGGATGCCACAAATGTAGTAGACTGATCTATCTTGTTAATCAATCATGATTCATGGGCCAACCGAACAGAGATTGGATGCAATTCCGAAATTTCCCAAACTATCAACTTTTGTCCTTACATGTTAACAAGTTATCATATTGCCCCATGCATTTTTTCAAAATCTTCAAAACGACTTCTGAAATCCCAAAAGTGAAAACGGAAAGAAAGTTTAAGCCCCGGGACGACGAAAATTGGCTTTGACCCCCTCGAGTTGTAAGATTTCACGAATACTTGCTGGAATTGTCTTTTCCCGATTTTCTGAAATCCTCAATAAAAAGGACATTAATTTTTTGAAGATGCACATAAATTCTTGCACCACTTTAACTGAATTTAATTTCTAAATCTTTAAAATGCCTAATTAAAACCTTTCCACTAAAATAAGATCACATTTCTAGTAATCATAATTATGTGTTACTGTGTACTTCAAGTAACAATGCACTTCACCAACCAACTTCCGTAAACACTTTCAACTCAAGCTCAACTTGGATAATGGACAATTTTATCATGCCCTACATGTTTAGGGGATGTTCTTCCGATCCTTTTCTTTTTGGTTTCTTTTTTGGTGTCTTTGTCATTGGTGTTGTACTTCTTTTTCAGCTTTGAGTGGTTATTATATTACCCTCCAGTTCTTAATATAAAACATTTTGATTTGTTCTAAGTTTTATTTTGCATGCATTGTTAATTGTAAAAAAAAACGTAAAAAATATATTTTCACATTTGTTGTGTTCTCTTGATTATTATAAAATATTTTTAAGATTATTTTCTCAATAAAAAATGCGTATTAGGTGAAACTCATGATAAATCAAAATGCCGTATATTAAGGACCGAAGAGAGTATTTTCATATCTTTTTAGTCAGTTGTTTACGCAGAACACTTTATTCAACCTATTTTTATCACATCGAATCATATATAATGCCTTTAGGTGATGCACTAAACCGAATAAACTTTTATGTTATCTTTTTGACTTTTTCCAATCGTTTTTGAAATTATGTTTAAGTAGTTTGTGGATATCAAGCTGATTGTAAATTGTAAAAATTTAGAATAGTGTAGAATTAATTTCTTCATATATTGAAAATTACGATAAGGTATTTTTTCTTCATACATAAACAAGGATTGCGTACTTATGTTTTGTTTTATGGTTATCCTTAATACCTTCTCATATATTAGCTCACCACGTTTCCGGTTCAAGTTTTGAAGAGATAATCAAACATGTTAATTTACAGCGTAACAAATAGAGTTTAATCTCTGTTTGCTGTCCTTCTTCCATTCTGCTGGGTCCCATGGATCGATCTCCTCCATTCTCCCTGATTTTCCATGAAATTTTATTGTCCATCAAAATGGTCTTTTTTCTTTTGTAGGGATAAGTTATTATTGTATGTGAGTTCTTTTAGTTTAGGAAAGGATAAACCTATCATTCTCTTACTTAGTGGCCATAATAATTGATAATGGCTTTGTCGAAAGACCACCGTGGGAGAAAATCTAATATACACCCACTGTACCCACCTTTTTAGTGCAATCAATCAATAGGGATTAATATTTGGTTTTTTCGGGTCCCATGAATTTCTCCATTTCTCCCATAAAAATATTACCTTTCCTCTTTTTGTATATAGGATGTACATGTGATGTAGTATAGCAGCTGTACATAAAATTTACTCAACAAATAAGAAAATCTAATATATATCATCTGTACCCACCTTTTTAGTACAATCAACCAATAGGGATTAATATTTGGTTTTTTTGGGTCCCATGAATTTCTCCATCTCTCCCGTAAAAATACTACCTTTCTTTTTTTTTTTTTTGTATATAGGATGTACAACTGATATGGTATAGCGACCGTACATAAGATTTATTCAACAAATGGGTAGTATGCATAGAAGGAAAATAAGACATGAGAAATAATCGAGTGCAGGAATTGATCAGATAAACAGCAATTTCATTAGTTTAATTATTGGCTATATATAGTATAAATGTCATGTATTATTCATTCATTACTCCAGGCCGTATCATTTTGTTCTTTCTTCGAACTTCAATGATTTAATGTCTCTATACTATGTATGACTTTTTGGTCCCAATATTAATTATAGGTTCCTAAACCACCACCTATAAAAAGACATGATATTTATCGAGAGAATTTAAATTAAAAATAAAATTTAAACTGAACAATAATTTTAAAAATATAATATTTTGAGCTCGGACTAATCAAAATAGTGACTTTAGAATGTTCTATCTAAAGTTTGTAAACTACTCCCTCCATTCACAAATAGATGTCGTTGGAGGAAAACCCAAATATTCCAAAATAGATGTCGTTCTCACAAATCGAGGCATATTTTTTCAATTTTTTCCAATATCACCCTTACATTGGAAATTGTTGTGATGTTTAATGTAGAATTGTATTAGAAGTGAATTTTATTGGGACTACCATTGAATTAAGAATAAATGAGGGTATTATAGTATTTTAACAAGATAATTATGGCCTCCTTAAACTTTGTGAAATCTCTCCAGCGACATCTATTTGTGAATGGAGGGAGTACGATTTATATCTTTGAATGTCAACAGACCAACAAATCCATGGTCATACACTCATGCGTACGTCATCCCAAGCTGCCGAAGAATACCAGTCGTACGTATCAACTCTCTGAATCAAAGGATGATGAAATCTAATTAAGCCCTCGAAAATATACAAAAGGGATAATGTAATTTAGTTTTTTGTCCGCACGTTGTAGCTAGTTGTAATTAAACTTAAGTATTAAAAAAGAGTTGTACTTCTTTGATTCTTCCTTAATTTCCTACTTCTGAATGATTTCAATATAGCAAGACTACCAAGATATGTGACATTTTCTAAACCAAATGCATGCATTTGATCGAAGATCAACAACTAAATTTCATATATAGTCATTTGTTTGTACACTCTAAAATACTTCAGTTGCCAAAGCTTTTTAATCAACACAACATGCAATTTGGTAGGATTATTTAATTTATTTTTTGTGACGTTTGATACTGGGACGAAAGTTCCTACTTAATTCGGGGGAAAAAAAAAATTTAACCAAGCCGACGCTAAATAATCAGTACTTCGATTTCTTCCCTTTGTCTTTTTCCATTTCTGCATATTTTATAGGCCCCCCACTTAGCAATTTGCCTTAACTTCCTGTGGATTTTAGCCCTACTTAACCATTTTAAAATAAAAGAACATTGTCCCACAAGTATTGTATAAACAGTGACACATATTTATATCAACACAACCTCAAGTGAATTTTCTTTACTTCAAAAGAAAAATTCATTACTTCTAGTGCTGAAGTTTTAATTAACTGTATTTGATTGTAAAAGGATATAATGGAAAAAATATTTAACCACGAGGTCCGGGCTGAAAATTCATGATAATATAAATGTATAGTCGTTATTGTTTTTTCTTTCGGGATTAAAGGAAACTAAAAATAAACAATATGGATTGTTTTAGTATTATGTAAGGAAATTTTAAAATATTTTTATAAGTATCCTCGTGATAATAACTTTGTATAATATATATATATATATATATATTTGACAGTTTCATTAATATCAAAATATATATATTTGACAGTTTCATTAATGTCTGGTCAAACAAATTCAACAATGGCAACCTACGTTTTCCTTTGTCAAATCACTTACTCAATTCTCACTATCCATACATATCAGGCGCTTGATGAGATGTACGGAGCTATTTAATAGTAAATAATACTAATTTTTTATATGGATACAATGGATTGTTTTAGCTTCCCATATCTAGTGAATCCCATATCTAAAATACTCTATCTGTCGCAAAATTATTGTCCTGTTTAAGATCTCACTTTTAGTATAATTTGAATTAAAAATAAAAATCCAAACTGGACAATAATTATGGAACGGAGGGAGTAATATATTTAGGTCCTATTTTAAAGTGTATTTTTCAAGTGAGACGGAAAACTGTTAGACGGAAGATTAACTAATACCACCAGCCAAGCATTACTATTCACAAAAAGTTTCTTATAAATACATCACTTCTCTTATCGCAAAAGATAAAATGCCACTGACAGAAACCATTCATTCCCTCCATTATTCCTTAGATCATCTAGAAATAACTTCGCAATATCACAGATTGAATATACGCCAACATTAAAGTTTTTCAGTTTCACCATAAGAAAAACGTATTCCTAGAGCTCATTTCAGTCATGGTTACATCAAACAACATTTCTCCGGCTTTTCAAAGCCCGTTGTTGTCCGGAAAGGATGAAGTGGTCGAAGATAATGTCGATTACAAAGGCCGTCCGGCGAAACGAGCCCAGTCCGGCGGATGGTTATCCGCTTCTTTCATCATAGGTGGGCCTCAAGAAATCATATCTCCATCAAAATAAGAAAAAAGTTTTTTTTTTTTTCATTTTCTTTATGTTTGAATATTAGTGTAAATTGTCTTTTGGGTTAAAACTTAAAAGGTGTGGAGATGGCGGAGTTCTTTGCGTATTATGGAGTGAGTGCGAATTTGATAACTTATTTGACGGGCCCACTTGGTCAATCAACGGCGACGGCGGCGGAGAATGTAAATGTCTGGTCGGGAACTGCCATGCTTATGCCGTTGTTGGGTGCTTTTGTTGCCGACTCATTTCTCGGCCGGTACCGGACCATTGTCGTCGCTTCTGTGCTATATATCCTGGTTAGTATATATATGCTTGCTCAATTAAGGCAATTTATGTTCAACAGTTCAAGTCTCTCTGTTTTCCCCCCTTTTCTTGGTACTAGGATGGCTTCGTAGTTATGAGTCTAATGACAACGAGTAACGTTTATTAAAGAATGCTTTCTGTATCTTAAAACAAATATCTGGCTCGTTGTTAAATTTTTTGTTTTCAATATTATTTGTGTCAAAAATAAAAATCTAACTCAATAATTATTTTAGAACAGAGGAAATATGATTTTCTGTGTATTTTGTCTTATAAGAATGGACATGAATGATAATACATTAATATTAGTATTATTATTACTTTTATTAGGTTGATAGTAAAAGAAAGTAAAAGCCATTTTTTTCACATAACATTGGTACATTACCATCGAAGAAAAAAGTACCAACTACTTTTATACGTGGACTTCCATCTTACATGGTTGTGATGCATGTGACTATGTGAGCCCGCAGGATAAAAATTAATCCAAGCATGCAACTCTTGGTCCCCTCCAATATTCTTTTCTCACTTAAAAGAGGACCAATGAATATGGAATCTTGTTTTCAATTTTTTTTTTTCTAGATTAAAAAGATTGAATGAAATCTGACAAGGGTGCGATAAGTAAAAGTACAACATATGTTTAGTTTATTTGCTACTTACTTCCTAACTTTCTATTTATGTAACTCACAAAGTGAAAATGAAACTTCGTTTGAATGTATACACATAATAAACAGGACCATAAGAATAAATCATACGAGGTCCCTCGCCGGTGAATGTTATTATCAACTATAGTTTGGTGTTCTTACCCAACATCAACTGTACTTGTGAAAATTGAGTTTATTCACATTTGTCAAAGTACGTTGACGTTCTTTAATCAATTTTATCTTGAATATCTATATGTTATTGGCAATGAGATTGCCCTTTTGCTTTCTCATCTGAGGTTGATTGACGTAGAAGAAACTTAATTTTCTATTTTAAGTACAAAGAAATTAATCATATACACCTCAACAGTATACCGCCGTATACGTATTTGCTAATGATGAATGCTACGCTTTGGAAAGCAATGTTGACAGTTACCTTCCTCACCATAGAATATTATTTGACTTCCTCCTCTTTCTCTTATCCAATTAAGTAACATAATAGGTTATCACTTTATTGAAAACTTTCCTCTTTTGTCTTTTAAGGTAATTTCTTAATGCTAATTTTGAATAACGAATTGAGTTATCTATTATGAGACCCTTTTGACTGTTACGTATGATCATCATGTTAGTTTTATGAATTTAGCTAGCACTAATAATTTCCCTATACTTTATTAACAATATTCAAGGTTTATATATATTTGATCCTTTTTTTTTTCTTTCATGAATCTCATTTAATCACGACCTGCCAATATTGTACTAAACTCTTCGAAAATACTTTTTGAATTGCAGGCACTTGGGCTCTTGGCCCTTTCAGCCATCATTCCTTCTTTCAACACTTTTAACTGTGAAAATGCTTCAAATAGCAGCATCCCATGTCCACCTCCTCAGCTCCAAATCACCACATTTTTCTTCTCATTATATCTAATAGCAATAGCACAAGGATTGCATAAGCCTTGTATTCATGCATTTGGAGCTGATCAATTTGATGGATCAGATACAAAAGAGTGTAAAGCCAAAAGTTCCTTCTTCAATTGGTGCAATGTGGGTACTTGTGTGTCCGTCACACTTGCATTGGTAATCTTGACTTATATTCAAGATGACCTAAGTTGGGGTCTTGGATTTGGAATTCCTTGTTTGGTCATGGTTCTTGCATTAGTTTGGTTTGTTCTTGGCACCGTCACGTACCGGTTCCATTCTACTAATGATCAAGGCCAAGGTAAACCCTTTTCGAGAATCAGCCTGGTGTTTTTGAAAGCAGCTAAGAATTGGAGAATCACTTCTTCTGCATTACATGTTGATGTGGAGAATCAAGATGTTCTTCCTCATTTGGGGTCTCAGCAATTCATGTGAGTACACCAATACTGTTTTAACTTGTGTTTGTGTAGTACTCCCTCCGTCCCAAAATTATTGTCCAGTTTAGATTTTCACTTTTAGTTCAATTTAAATACTCCCTCTGTCCATAAATAATTGTTCAGTTTAGATATTTACTTTTACTGCAAATTGAACCAAAAATGAAAATTTAAACTTGAAAATAATTATTTTGGGACAGAGTGAATTCATACGATCAACTCGAAATAGAAAACAATCATATGCTTGTAAAATCGACTTATTGTCCATCTTGAAACTTATGGTTATCTGGTTTTTTGGGTAATAGGTTTTTAGATAAAGCATTATTATCACCCGATGGCTCAATGGAAGAAGGCAAAGTATGTAGCAGAATTGAAGTTGAAGAAGCTAAGGCAATTCTGAGGCTATTTCCAATTTGGTTATCTTGTTTGGTATACGGCATTGTATTTTCTCAGCCGCCAACTTTGTTCACTAAGCAAGGGCTCACAATGGACAGATTCATCACTCCGAAATTTGAAGTTCCCGCGGCCTCACTTCAATCCTTCACTAGCGTCACAATAATCGTCTTTCTTTGCATGTACGACCGCCTTTTAGTTCCTGCAGCAAGAGCCCTAACCGGAAAATCTTCCGGCATAACGATGCTCCAAAGAATCGGAACCGGGATATTCTTTTCGATTCTGTCAGTACTCGCAGCTGCCCTAGTGGAAAAAAGGCGTCTTGAAACAGTAAAAGAGTACGGATTAGTCGAATCGCCAAATGCCGTAGTACCAATGAGTGTGGCCTGGTTGATACCTCAGTATTTGTTGTTGGGAGTTTCTCAAGCATTTACCATTGCAGGGTTACAGGAATTCTTCTATGATCAAATGCCTAATGGGTTAAGAAGCACTGGACTTGCTCTTTACCTTACCATTTTTGGGATCGGAGGATTTCTTAGCAGCATTCTCATATCTGTGATTGAGAATACCACTGGTGGTGGATCAGATGGTGATCATTGGTTTTCGGATAATCCGATGAAAGGACACCTGGATTACTTCTATTGGCTGCTTGTGGGACTTAGCGCAGTTTCATTTACAGCTTTTGTGTATTTTGCAAAAGGTTATACTTACCGGAACAAGCAACTCTTATCATAATGCTTGAAAGATGAAAGCATATAGTTAGTTCATTAGTTTGTTGAAAAGTTTAGCATAATTTATTGGCGTATTTTGTTTGATTCTTTCCATTCATTAGTTATTGATGACCTTTGTACATGAAAAGTGTCCACCTTCGTGAAGTGGATGATAAAGTTAAGCTTGGTATTTCGATCCAAGAAATGACAGAGAATTTGAAGAATATGTACTAGCGCTTCCATTCCATTTTTGTTGTACAACTTAAAAAGACGGATTTTGTACACAATGTGGACTATTAAAATAATCAGAAGAGGAGAGATGAATATCTTAGTTAATTAAGGAATACAGAACGCATGCAATGTCTATTGTATAGTGCCGACTACTTTTAAAATTTGTTTTCTGGGCTAGCCCAAGTTAGGTAATCTTAACATTTCATTTCAGATGTTGATAAAAATTAATATCATTCCCGAAAAGAACAGTAGGACCAAATTCAAGGACGACAGGACTGAAATGAGGGTGGAAAAACTTTTCGGGATCAAATTTCTTCGTGTCTCCTTAAAGAGCTACTAGTAACTTCATGTTCTAAGCTTGGAAATTAAGTTGAGCTATGTAATTCCATGAAATTAAAAATTAGGATTATTTAACTATATGATGGAATATTTGGACGAAATATTCAATAGGGTTTTTTTTCTACTGTTGCAAATTGTAGTACAGAGTTTGGCTGCTAGTGTCAAAGAACTTGGCATTGTACCCATTTGATGACTTTATGGGATACAGTCCAATGAGGCGAGATTGAACCGGCAGGCAAAGGCTTTTCAAGTGAAGATAGACGAGGTAATGAGCAGAATGGTGGTGACTCAGAAGCAGGTGAAGAGCCAAAAAGTGACCGGAGTAATATCTAATAATGTTAAGGCAGAAGTTTTTAAAATGAGGGAAAACTTCAACCCAATCAAGTACAGGAAAAGATATAGTAGTAATATACGTTGATTCTGAGGGAAAGAAACAGTGGTAAAAGAATATTTTACATCAAAATTGCTTAAATTGGTTTGATAGCTCTTCAGAGACAGCTTGGGCGCACACAAAAAAGGACTCATTGATTTTGATTTTTTTAACCAACAATAGGATGATAAGATGTGATTGAGCGACACCTTTCAATTTGTGGCCGTACTTAATTAGATTTCAGGTGTCAGAACAATTAATGTTAAATCATGGTTAGAAATATCCTTAGGACACATTCAAAGTTTGGGTAATCCTTGGGACTTTTGGTTTCTGGTTGAGTTTTCAACATCTACCTAGGCATATAATAATCATGAGTCCATTCTAAAGTACTTGATTGTAAAAATTAGACTATTTATTATATGTGGGAGGGAAGGAGTAATTTACTTTTAGAATCAATCGTACAACATTTTTGCATTATAACATAAATGTTACAAAAAAAATTTACTAAGTGGGAATGCACTTGCAAGATCCAAGCATCAATAAGCAGCACACCCTTATGTCTCATATATCTCATTAACCAAATCGATATCTCAACAATTTTTTAAAAGAAATACTTTACAATTTTAGATGGGTTCTAACTGAATCATTATTTGGAATTTTTTTTTTTTTTGCAACGGAATATCTTTCAAATTTTAAACATATTCTTATCTCATGTTGGAAAATTTAAAAGTTTTTTCAATAAAGTTTGTTAGGATTATGAAATTTCAAACACTTTCATTTTAAAGATATAGTATTTTATAAGTTAGTATTGAATTTGAATTAATTTGTTGCGATAATTTGTTTATATCATTACTTAAAAAAATCAACATATCCAGTCAAAAAATAGGTTAATATTAACTTGACTTTGTTATTCAACAAGCAGCCTTTTCAAATGGCGCTCATCTGCTCGACCAGTTGTTGCAAAAAAGAAGAAGAAGAAGTTATTATTTCTACCCTACGGTTGTTTCTGTTCTCATAATTTTACCAGATAGACTCTAATCTAAATTATTTTGTTGGTATAATTTGTTAAGATGATTAGTGAAACGAAGTATCATACCTTATCAAGAAAAAAAGAAAAAAAAAAAGAAACCAAGATTAAATTGAAAGTTTTATAAAATTCAGAACTATTTATATTTATCATAAAGTTGTGACTCTCAGTGATTCTTATACCGCATCATTTTAATTAAAAGAAGAGAACAAAAGACTGAACTAAAGCTATAGGACAACTCTATATAAAAAAGAAGTGGTATAAGTTTACACACGAAGAAGATGAAATGACCAAAAGAAGTTAATCTATTTTAAGCTATTTAAATGATAAGCAGTGGACTAAAAGTGGAATTGGTTATTGTGCGAGTCTTTTTAAGAACTTTTCTTTTAATGTTTTTTTTATCGATTTTTTTTTTTTTTTGTTCGTGTCTAAGATTATTCAAACATACCAATTTATTTATTTATTTATATACATTATTAAACGTACATGTCCAAAACATATAGCACACTAAATTTAGTTATATGTTTCTTTTTGAAAAAAATTACACATAGTTTGTTAACAAAGTTTGTTAGGATTATAATTGAACTTTTCTTTTAATGTTTTTTTATTGATTTTTTTTTTGTTCGTGTGTAAGATTATTCAAACATACCAATTTATTTATTTATTTATATACATTATTAAACGTACATGTCCAAAACATATAGCACACTAAATTTAGTTATATGTTTCTTTTTGAAAAAAATTACACATAGTTTGTTAACAAAGTTTGTTAAGATTATAATTGTTTAAACTTTTTTTGTTTTCGTACATAAAGGATTTGATAAGATAGGTTGTAATTTGAATTAATTTGTTGGAAAATTTGATAAGATGATTACTTGAGAAAATATAAATGTGAACTACCAATTTTGATAAGATAACTTCGGGTTCCGATGAGTATGCTACTTTTTCCCTTCTAAATAATTCTAAAATTAATTTATTATGGCCTATTAAATCAGTTAGCGGATTAAACTTAAAACTTGCCTTTCATTATTACTTGAAATATTGAAATTTTTATTTATTTCGACCCCAGATTTATCCAACATTTCCTTTAACCCACACAAGACAAACCCGCCCCTAATTCTAGTAATCCAAATCGACTGCAAGAGAAAATCAATCACCATGGAAAGGTCTGAAGTGGCTGTCGGTAGGAAAAAAAGCTACAAGAAATTTGCAGAATAATTGCTATCTTTTTCTCAACGAACGAGGTGTAAAAAATAGTCTCGTCTTGCAAAACTTTCGACCAAGATACCGCCTCGACTCAGATCAATGATGAGGACGTATCAATCAACAAAGATTCTTAAAAAATTGACCCCAAATAATTTACGAATTTCTATAGTGAAAAATTTCGTCTGTGACTTCAAAGGTGGCATCAATTTTTTGGCTAGATTGGTACGACCGATTGAAACACAAGAACAAATGTGGTGGAATGGAATTTGCAAGATGAGGTATTACATTGGTTTGAAAGATTTGAGCTTGAAAGAGACAAGCGATACTCAAGAAATTGGAGGGGGGAAGGGTTTGTTTAGTAATCACCCTTAGTAGTTTTGCAATGTATTTTGTCCATGATTACAATTTACATGGGAAAGAAATGTGGATGGGGTGATCCGAGGTTCACAAGGTTTTTAAAGATTGATATGTAGCAAATTTATAATATTGTCCAACAATATAACTGAAGGTCTGAAGCTGGTTAAGACATACTCTAGGCTTTCTCTTTGATGAGTTAGATGAGGCCTTCTATTTTTAACTTTTTTGACATTTTTAGTTGTAAATAAATGACAAGTTAAAAAAGTTACGGGTAGATTATGAATCCAACGAGGTAAAGGAGCAGATTTTTTTTAATTTTTTTGATATTATTATTTTTATTATCAGGAATTATCATAACTAAAAGTTAAAAAAAAAGTTACTGGCTAGGGCCTACCGTGGAAAACGAAAAATTAGATTAAAAAAAATTTAATTTTTTAATTTTTAAAATGTTTTAATAATAGTTTATGAAACTTAATGTACAGGACGAAAATCTGCTAAATTTAAATGTAGAAAGCAAAATGTGTTTTTGTCCAAATGTATATGACGAAAACTTTTTGACAAAAAAAAATGACGAAAACTATGGTTAGACATTTTAGTCTAATTAATTTATAAATTACAATATCACTGTTTTCAATATTTAATTAAGCATTACGATATAGACAATAACTAATTCATAAATGGTAATGTTTTGGGATATTATTTGATTTGCAAACGTTATTTGGCCACTTTCATGGTTCTAGGGTCAACTACGACATTAAGGGCAAGCGCTGATCCATAGCACCTTTCTGGGACAGAGCACATTTCTAGCAGCAGATTACTTTTCTATACGGTAATTATTGCTGTTAAAACTGGTTTGATGAAAAAGGTGACCTTAGAATTATAGTACTCTAGAGAATCAAGATTGATTAATTTCCGTGGAGTTGCAATTTTTCTGTTTGGCATCACGGTTGACCTTTCTGTCGCACTTGCTCGATATGTATGATTTTGGAGGATTACTTTCTCGATGAGTAAAGGAAAAAAGGAATAATTAAGAGTGGTTTTAACGTAAAAAATGTGTATGATGATTTTGGTGTGCCCTTACTGATATTATGGATGATTCTTTTAATTTTTTTTTTTAATTTGTTGGTTTATTAGTTTGAGATATTTGTAAAACTAAATTCATTGTGTCTCCTTATGTTCCGCCCCGTCTACACCCCATTCCTTGAAAAAAAGGAGACCTAGTCAAAACGCTCGGCTAGATCTCGCCATGTCTCAGTAAAACAGTTAATCGGTAAAATAGAGCGATAATTTAAGACATTATCAAGTCAAAATTTAAAATCTGATAATTGGTGTAAGACTTATTACATGTATAGTCTACAACATCTTGAACTAGAATGTTTTCTATTTTTATAACTAATAGAAGCCTATAGAAGTACAACCAAACCCAATCGTCTTGGGGCATACTAGGCTTCCTGAAACGTGTCAACAAGGTAATCCAGTACTTCTTCTCCTAGAGTATAGAAAAAAGTATAGGTTTGATGAGGTATGCTCAATAAGGTCTCACCGGTTACCGAATATTAGTCTAAGTGACCAAGTAATAAAACAAGTTATCACACATTATGTAATACAAGGACATAACGTTTAACATTACCAAATAATGATATCAGATACCTAAGATCATATTTAATGCTCGTCGGGGAGAAAATCATAGATCAAAAAACCATACAAGAATTTCCACAAGCCATGTCACATAAATGCAGATAAGAGCACATTCAGAGAGTGGATACGGGTGTCTAGGTATTTTTTGAGTTTTATTTTATTTGTTTTAT